TATTATATTTATATTATAGTCCAGTACAGCTAAACTATATTTAATATATAATTAATTAATTTTAGATTTTTTTTATAATAATTTATAACTATCTAGTATTTTATTATATTAGGTATATATTATATTAAAAATAGATTTAGTTTATATAATATATATTTAACTTATAATATATTTATTTATAAAGTATTTTTATAATTATTAATTCTTATAAAATATTTTAACTATTAACTATATTTTTTAATTATTATTATTAATCTAATCTAGTTATTAATTATTTTAATTTATCTAATAAATAATAATAATATTATATATAATTATAATTTAAATAAATTATTTTTTTTATAATTTATTTTTATAATAAAAATATAAATCTAGTTTTTAGTATAAGATAAATAGAAAGATATAATATTTATAAAATTATTTAAAAAAAAGTTTTTTATAAAACTATATTCCAGGAAATAAAAGATATTATTAATATAATATATATATATATATATATTCTAGAATATTAATAAGTATCTTTTTAGAAACATATTATTCTAATAAAAAAATCTAAATAATATTTTATTATTACTGTTTTTACTATATTATTTTTTAGTTTTAGATATTTTAAATAATAACTTCTACTTTATAATAAATAATATTATAGTCTATTAAAAAAATAAAAAATTAATAATTTACTAAATAATTTAAATAATTTTCTAAAATATATTATTCTATAATAATATAATATTTTAAAAAATATTATTAAGTATAGACTAGTAGAAAAAAGATATTATTTAAAATATTATTTTATAATAATAAAATATTTTAAACAATATTATTAAAATAGGCTTCTAAGAAATAGATATAATAATTAAATAAATTAAATAAGTTTTGAATAATTATATAATAATTTATTTAAACTTTAAATTCCAGCTAATTAAAATTTAATTTAATTTAAAATTTAAGATTAAATAATCCAGCTTATTTAATAAATTTTATTAAAATTTTAAAATAAATAAATTTTTTAATTAAGCTTAACTTTAATTAAAAATATTAAATTTAATATTTTTTATTTTTTAAATATTTAATTTAGTATTAATAAATATTTTTTTAATTAAATATATATCTCTAATTTTATTTTAATTTAAGTTAATAACTAACCTAATTAAAAAAATAAAAAATATAAAAAAAATTATTAAATTTATATTTTATACTAAATTTAATTTTTTAATTAATTTTTAATTATATTAATAATTAGTAGAGTTATTAAAAATTATTTAATTTAATTTAATATATTATATAAATTTAATATAAAGATTTAATATTTTATATAATACTTATATAATATTATAATAAGATAGAAATATAAGAAAATTATTAAGTTAGAAATATTTAATTAAGTAGATTAAAAATTAATTAAGATTTATTTATTAAGTAGTTAAATAGGATTAATTTATTTAATAAATAAATTAAGTTACATAAATCTTAAATTATTAAACTAGTTCTATTATATTTATTAAAAAATATTATTAAATATAAGTTTATTAAAAGAATATTAGTTAAATAAATAATATTTTTATTTTTAGATATATTATAAAAATATAGTAATATAAAATAGTAGATTATTATATATTTTATATATTCTTAATTTATAAAAATTTAAATATATTTCTATTTATAAAATAGTTTAAAATTATAATTAATATAAGATTATAAAAATTTAAAAGTATTAATTTTAGATTTATTTATAAATATTTAATTAAATCTCATATATATATTCTTTATAATAAATATAATAATAAATCTAATTTTTTATTAAGATTTTTATTTTATTATAAATTATAATAATATATTAAAAAATATTCTTAATTATAAAAAGTATAGATTAAATATAGTAAATTAATCTTATTATCTTAAAAGATTTTAGAAATAAAAAAAATAAAAATATAATTATATACTAGTTTTTAACTAGACTAAATTATCTAAATTTATATTTTATATTATTTATAATTATCTACTGTTTCTAAATAAGTTTCTTATTTATTTTAATAATATTATTATTTTTATATTATTTAAAATAAAAATTATTCTAATTATTTTTATAATTAATACTAGTATATAGTTTTCTATACTATATTATCTAAAAATAAATAAAATTTTTTTATAATATTATTAAGAATATTTTAGATTATTAATTAATTTATAAAATATAATATTTTTATTAATAATTTAAGAGAATTTATAGTAATTTTAATATAAATTATTTAATAAATAATATTTTTATTAAAATTATTTATAAATAGGGATTATAAAGCTCTGTATTTAATAATTTAATAATTTAATTTAATTAAATAATTAAATTTTCTTAATATTTAATATATATAATTTATATATAGAAAATATATAAAGCCTATATAAAAATATAAATTTTAATAATTTTAAAATATTTTTTTAGAATTTTTAGAAAAGTCTTTAGATTTTAAAAATATAAGAAATATACTACTATTTATAGTATAAGATAAATAGAAAAATATAGTATTTATAAAATTATTTAAAAAAAGGTTTTTATAAAGCTATATTTTAGAGAATAGAAGATACTTCTAATATAATATATATATATTTATTATAAAATATTAATATAGTTATAATAATTATACTTTTTTTAGATATTTTTTATATATTAAATAAGATTTTTAAAGAGATTTAATATTTTAAAAGATTATAAAATTACTAGTATTTTATTAATTATTGTTTCTAAAAATAAAGATTATATAATATTAAATTATAAATTAGTAAAAATAATAAATATAATAATTTAAATTAATAGATTTTAATAATAATCTCTTTAATTCTTAATTAATTATTTAGATTAAGTTATTTTTAGATTTATAAATAAGATATAGCTTAATAAATTATAATAAGATTAGAAATAAATTCAAAAATAGAAATTATATGTTATATATAAAATAAGTAGGATTAGTAGTATACTTAAATAAATAAAATAAATAAGATATACAGGATAATTAAGATACTCTAGATATTCCAGATATTTAGAATAGACTAGGTATTCTAAGTCCATACTGTGATAATAATTATTATAATATTCTTTGATTCAAAGATTTATCTTAATTCTTACATTATTAATTATCAAAATCAAAATATATTAAATCTAATTTTTAAAACTTAAAATATATTTTTCATTAATTTCAAGTTTTATTTAAATTATAACTAATTTGTTTAGAAAAAAGCCTAATATTTATTATTAAAATAATTAAAAATAAAAAAATGTCATTTGTATATAATTATCTTAACTTAAAAATAATTAATTTAGATATAAAAATACTTATAAAATATAACTTTAATAATTTGATTTTTAAAAAGTAACTTAATTTATAGAAATTAATATATATATATATTATTTCCAAGAATTATTTTACTATAGTTTAATTTAATCTAAATTAAGTATTTTTTAATATATATTTGTGTTACTACTGGGTTTTATCTTTTTTTATTTATATTTTCTGATTAAAAAAATAAAATAATATAAAATCTAAAAAATAAATAATCTTAATTTACTAGAATAAGAACTAGTATTAATAAAAATTAAATTATTTAAAGAATTATCTAATCTTATGATTATCAGGTTTTCATATATATCTTTATATAGAGTTTTAATTAAAAAATTTTTCTAAAAGTTTTTCTTAATTTTTCTATACAGATAAAGGATCCAGACAGGCTGGAATATAGAATATTCTGGTACCAGATGTCTTACCGGCTTCTGCTGCGGATATACTACCCCAGCCAGCCCGTACCTTGACATTCAGTATGATTTATATTATCCGGGTATGTTCTTATTGTAAACGAAAAGAAACTAGAAATTAAATATGGTTACTAGAGACTATACATAATCTCACTGGATAACAAGTAGAATTGGCTGAGATACTAGTATATATATTATAGCTCTTTCACATGGATAATACAGAGATGGCTATCTAGTAGCCTGCTGGATGGCATGCCCGCTTGTGGATTACGGTAGTATCATGCAGCTTGTGTAAGGAATGTAGAACAGCTGTGTATCTATATAATGAAGGAAATTCTCTGCCAGTCTTTTCTTGAAGGGGCCATTGAACCAATTAAATGGAGAATGAGAACAAAATAACTTTTACCCATAAGCATAGTAACAAACATAATCTCGAGCGTGATTCCTGAAGGCTCCATATGAGTCTAGACTAGCATATGGTTCCATGTTAGGTATTTATCTTGAGCTTTTTTAGCTAGCCAAATCTTGCAAGGTTTCACAAGAACCAGTGAACCTCTTATTGCAAAACACACGAGGCAGACAGATAAACAGAAGAGACCTCTTGATACAACGTTGGTATAAATATACACGGCACAATTCACGACAGTAAAAAGATACAAGAAGAAGATCAAAGTTAGGGGTTAACTCGATTTACCTCGATACAGCGAAATGCGCACCCCCCAGAACTTTGACATATGTGAATATCATCATGTTAGACGGAGGGCCTCGCAACTGCAGGGACATGAGTCGCCGCGCTCGATTCGGACAGGAAACATACGCCAAGGACTCGTGCTCGTCAATTTCCAAGCTGCACATAGTTTGCAGGGAACAGGCCTGATTTTCCATTGTACCGACCGAGCCACCAATCATCATCGGGAAACTCCTAGTGATAAGCCATTTTATCAGCCACAACGTTCCAAGCAGGAGGGGATTTTGGACGTATGGTCATAGACCTATTGACCAGCCTTGCATGGGTATAGGATTAGAGCATGGAAACTTACAATATGGGTTATTTTGGCGCCCTCTGGGAAGCTCAGTTCATTGTCTTCCGCAGCCTCATAGTCGTACAATGCGATTGCAGAAGGTTCGCTAGATGCCTCAGTGGTAGTGGATGGAGCAACTTCAGCATCAAGCAAAGACTGGCCTCCTTCGACCGTGGGGACCTGATGGTCACCTAGATTGCGGGACTGCGATGGATTCGTGACGATTTCCACATAGTTGCTTGGAAACAGGCCTCTTTCACCTTGAATATTCGATCCTAACCACCAGTCCTTATCAACCATCTCGATATCGTTGACATGCTCGCCTTCTTTCAATTCAATCTCATTGTCTTCTGCTTTCTCATAGTCGTAAAGCACCACCGCCTGAACGACTGTTTGCTGCGCGTCGTCAGTAACGGTAGCCTCAGCCGTTGCACGACCAATATCGTGTGCATCGTCGTCCAAATCATCCTCTTTGGGCAACGCCTGCTGCAAGCTCGCGGTAGGAATTGCAGGAGGTGGTGATTGCTGCTCGTTGTGAACATCCGTCACCTCTTTACCAACCGGGGCGGCCACACGTATGGGTGAGAGCTCACGCTCTGGTACTGGTGGAGTTGGGGGGGTCGGAGACCGAGGCTGCTGAGGTGGAGTAGGAAGCGGCTCGAAGCCTGCAGTAGTATGTGATTCTCCTGTCTTGGTCACTGGGGCAAATTCCGGGGAATCTGGTACAGATATGGTGCCACTAGTGGTCGGAACAGTTCCCTTCACGTTGTGCAAGCCCCCAGACACGTCGTGAGTTGTGTAGCCAAGATCGATGTTTGTGTTTTGCGGAGCAGTCTCATTATCTGGATCATGACCCGGCCCTGCCGTACGTAAAGGAAGAGCGGTAATCTGTGACAGAGCCCCAGTTCCCGCGGCGTGTACAGGAAAGGGGTTGACCGTAGTTGCGTCGCTCTGTGATTCCTCGTCATCCTTCTGAATTGGTGCACCTGTCTCAATGACCGGTAATTTGGTAGAAATTGTGTTGAAAGCTGGACCACTTTCCCTAGCCTTACGCTCTGACCAGAGTTGCGCCGGTGTCTTGCCTCCTTCGTCGGCAAACGTACGGCTAGCACTACCCACTAATGGTGCCGCAGCCTTAGTATTCTGGTCGGGAAGGGGGGGTTTCGTTCCGACAAATGTGGAATTGGCGGTTATGGATTTTGCGACTTTGGGTTTTGGCAAGCTCGTTAGGCGTTCATATTGGCTTGCGACAGAAGCTGTATCTGACGGCTTTGCAAGCCCAGCCGTTTGCGGGACCGGACTTCCCTTGGCAGGGGTATACTCGTCGGTGGGGGTGTTGAGTGCACCCTGTGCTTTGGCCCGGATAGCAGCAATGTCAACCTTCCCAATTGGCTGGTATGCGCCTTTCACAGGCTCGGGACGATCATCAGCCAGATCTCCGGCTTCGCGTGCTTGTCTTCTTATAGCGGCAATGTCAACCTTCCCAACAGGCGTATAGCCACCTTTGACGACTTCGCCACGGTCTCCACCGTCTTGAGCGATGAAGGTGCTGGAGTTAGACTGCGCTTCAGCCTTGAGTTCTTGAAGATTCACCTTAGTGGGTTTGTAAGCTGACTGAACCTTTTCGAGGCCCGTCCTAGTGACTGGTGGTGCATCAGGACCCCAGCCATCATCACCACCCCTTGCTGATGCTCGCTGCGCATTACCCGTTGGATTATTTGCAGTAATGCCACCAGCGCGTGTGGGTGTAAAGACGGGCTTAGTGGATACCGGGGGCTTTGGGGTGGAGGTAGGCATCCTATCTAACCCCGGGGTATACCTCGCCCCAGAAGCGTCTCCCACTTTCTGTATTATGCCCTCCGCGGTAAGGTCTTGCTCGGAGCGAGCAGTGATCTGCACATGGTAGCCCTGTAATTCTATGCATCAGAACGGAGCACCAAGTGTGCATAATGATCGTAAGTGTGAACTGACATGCAGAAACTTAGAAACAGCGGCGAGGTGACTGGTGAAGTATCCCTTGGTACGTTCCGGCACCCCCTCCCCGCACCAGGCAATCAGCACGTTCTTGGGAAGTCCAGAGTTCGGGTCGAGGACCTTTACGAATGCGAATTGTATTTTGCCCTCGGAGAACTCGTCAACCAGGTCCAACAATTCACCGGCTTGAGAGCAAGAATTAGCGAAGCTCATTTCGGGTGAGGGAAGACGTTAATGACCGACCTCCAGTATCCTGGACCTTCAAAACACTCTCCTTATTGCCGGAATCCTTCTGGAAAGCATTGATCAAAGGGGTGGCAACTGAAAAGATGACCCATTGCCCGTAAGTAGGGGAACCCGAGCTTGGCAGAGATGAGTCGATGACAGCTTGGTAGCTCTTCGCTATCGATGGCCCGTTAGTGGACAGGTTCAGAGTGGCCATGTTTGTAAGCTAGAATCAAGTATCGAATTCTTCGACACGAGCACAGAATGGGGTAGAAAACTAGAGTAAGGGTGTCAGATGAGATTGCCTAGAAGACCTGGGTCAACTCATGATCCAGAGTTCAGAGTGATAGAAGAAGGGAATCAGGGGGGTCGTTCCACAATTTATTTATAGCAGGCGACAAGACCCGGATTGACTGACTTACATGTACAGTAGAGCTAGTGCTATGGATGGTTGTATTTCTGCCTAAGGGATATGGGCTGTTAATTGTTTCCATGGGCTAGTTATAGAGTACGGGGTAGCAACAAGTCAGTACGTCACACCTTACACCGGAATAGGATTCGAACGAGGCGGTGCGCGCCCACCCGCCACCAGGATTATACTAGCCACCATAGGTAAGCTGCACTTCGACGGGCGGAGGCCGTGGAGAGAGGCATCGTTCCTTTAACAAGCAAGTAATCTCGTTCTACGAATTGATAAGGTACTTACGGTATTTACTACATACATCTCATTTAGTATATGATATAGCGCTGTGAACTCCTACTCTGAGGCCGGAGCTCTTAATCCATAGTTTTGAGGGCACACCATACGGTGGGTGAAGCCTGGAATTTCTCATTCATTGCGTCAATAGTATATGGTTGATGTATTTTGAACTGTGTAGGGATTGCCATTCCATTCCTCGCATTCCAGAATTCATAACAATGTTGTTATAGATCATTTGGTCAAACCCTCGGATGTCTGCTTAATAATATTAATAATAATTACCCGTTACATTCGGCACTGGTGAGCATGTGCGGTGAGCACTTTCGGCTTGCTATGGTTTTTTTTTTTTACTTATACAAAAAGTTTCTACAAAGAAGTTTCACTAACCGGGCAACTTGATCACAGCCCGTACCACAAGACTGTGCAGCAACATCACTGGGTTTAACAAACTGTGCCACAAGATTGAGAATGACTTCTTTAAATTCGAATGAAGCTGCCAGGCCCGTTTCTAATGCCAACACATCAGGAGGCTTATCGGACGAGAAAGCTTTCCCTCAAGTTCATGAAACAGTGCCCGACTCAACCCCCCATTTTCTTGCCGATGCTGGGATAAGTAAAACGGATTTCATCAATACAGAGTCCGCACCGCAAACACCGGAAGATATCCTGCCAAGGGACATACAACTCAAGACGCCAACTTATGACTATGCCTTCGAGAAGTCGATGAGCCATACTGAAGCGAAGCTGTTTTATCAACATCACCAGCTCGCCAGTCGGAGCGTCGGAGACAGCGACCAATCTACCAAATCAGCCGCAGCAGCGGCCATATATGCACCGACTATCCAAACAGAAAGGGACTCTGCTGACACGGCAAGTAGCCCCAGAGATCTCATTCAATCGACGGGTCCAGAAATAGCCAGAGTTCCATCTCCAATTACTCGGCAACCAAACTTGATAGCAGACCTCGCGGATACATCCTTTGTTGATTCGATTGCAGGAGAACTGCACAATCAGCGTTTTTCCGAAGCACATTCTATGCTCCAATCTTTCGATGAGCCGCACACATTATCAGGGACAAACAATTTGGGAAATCCGGGAGATGGACTTGGGGCTGTCCAAGGTATCATGCACATTTCACCAGGCGCAAATGTGATAGCCTCAGACCTGGATGTCATTTGCCGTAAGATAAAGAGGCTGCTCGATCGCAGAGCCGAATATATGCAGTTATCATTGCAAGGGCCTGACAACAACCCAAAGGATGCCCCGGGTTGGCAGATCTATCCTCCTCCTCCAGAGCCGGCCTGGGACGATGACAAGGATCTTGGGATGATCAACGATCGCCCACGTGCTGACCATAAAAGAAGAAAGATGGGTGAAGATGTGGGAGAGGATTTCGATATGTCCGACTGCCTGCCTCTTCCCGGAGGATCTGATTGGGTCTTTGAGCTGGATGAGAATAGCGTATATCAAGTCTATGCGAGTGACGAGGCTCTGCAATCACGAAGACCAGTGGTCAAGATCCCTTCCTTGAGAGACTTCTACATGGACCTTGATGCAGTCACAGATATATCGACGGACGGTCCTGCGAAAAGTTTTGCATTCAAGCGACTTTCTTACTTGGAAGGAAAATTCCAACTGTATACACTTCTAAATGAGTATCAAGAAATAGCCGACAGCAAGAAAGTGCCTCATAGGGATTTTTATAACGTTCGGAAAGTCGACACGCATGTGCATCATTCTGCATGCATGAACCAAAAGCATCTCCTTCGTTTCATTAAGAGCAAGATGAAGAAGTCACCAGACGAGGTCGTATTGTTCAGGGATGGGAAACATCTAACACTAAGGGAGGTCTTCGAAAGCATCAATCTCACAGCTTATGACCTCAGCATCGACACACTTGATATGCACGTATGTCATGTTGCACCTCAGCACATTTTACGATTAGCAATTTGCAATTAACGTCTCAAATAGGCGCATACCGATTCTTTTCACCGCTTCGACAAATTCAACCTCAAGTATAATCCTGTTGGCGAATCCCGCCTGCGCGAGATCTTTTTAAAAACCGACAATTTCATCAAAGGACGTTATCTGGCTGAAATCACAAAAGAAGTGATCTCCGACCTGGAATCAAGCAAATATCAAATGGTGGAGTGGCGCATCTCTATATACGGGAGATCAATCGAAGAATGGGACAAGCTTGCTGCCTGGGTTGTGGACAACAAATTATTTTCCCCCAATGTTCGCTGGCTCATTCAAGTGCCTCGTCTCTACGACGTATATAAGTCGAGCGGGATGATGGAGAACTTCGAGCAGGTGATAACGAATGTCTTCAAGCCGCTATTTGAAGTCACTAAAGACCCAGCTTCACACCCTAAGCTACACATCTTCCTACAGCGGGTCGTTGGATTCGACAGTGTTGACGATGAAAGCAAAGCTGAGAGACGGCTGTATCGAAAGTATCCTATCCCGAGAGAATGGAGCACGAAGCAGAATCCACCTTACAGCTACTGGCTCTATTTCATGTTCGCCAACATCGCGTCTTTGAACATTTGGCGCAAGAAGCTGGGTTTCAACACATTCGTCTTGAGGCCACATTGTGGTGAAGCCGGTGATCCAGATCATCTTGCCGTTGGTTTTCTCTGTTGCCACAGCATCAGCCATGGTATTCTATTGAGAAAGGTTCCTTTGCTACAGTATCTGTTCTACCTCGATCAGATAGGGATTGCGATGTCGCCTCTCAGCAACAACGCACTGTTTTTGACTTACGATAAGAATCCCTGCGCCAACTTCTTCAAAAGGGGTCTTAATGTCTCGTTGTCTACTGATGATCCCTTGCAATTCGCCTTCACCAAAGAACCACTGATCGAAGAGTATTCGGTAGCCGCGCAAATCTACAAGTTCAGTGCTGTCGACATGTGCGAGCTTGCAAAAAATTCCGTCGAGCAAAGCGGTTTCGAGCTTTCCTTGAAGAAGAGATGGCTCGGCAGCAAGTGCTCTTCACCAGGAGTTATGGGAAATAATGTCGCAAAGAGCAACGTTCCTGACATTCGTGAACAATTTAGGCATGAAACACTGCTTGGGGAACTCGCGCTGTAGGTTTTGGCTAGATGGGGAATGCCTCGCTGGTCCTTCCGCATTCATACATCGATTTGAACTGACGTTTACCAGAATCAATCGATATTGCGCGAGATCGACTGATGAATTAACACACAAATCAAATCCGGCGCCTTCAGCCGCACCAACTGAGAGCGGTACGAATCCAGACTCAGGTAAGCTATTGTTGCATTTATAGAATTGGAGATTTAACTTCCAATTGTAGGCGCCCCGCAGTGATAATCAGCGGATAACTTGCTGTCAACGCTATGTGTGATGGCTGAAGCTTTGTGCTTTTGCAGCAATTTCTCCTTGGGTGACCTAAGAAGAATTTCTTGGGGGCATTCATAGCATTGCAATCTCAGGTCACAGTCTCTCTCACTAGAGTTCCTGGTGGAACAATAATCGGGTTGGGTTAGGAGTGAGCCAACAATAGTAGTCTTGTTCCATCTTCATAACAAGGATATTAAGCATTGTATGAATAACTTTTCCCAAACCCCTCTATGTAGCTGGTGCCAATTAAAGGATGTGATTATTCCGACCGATATCAACCGTATATAGTCAGTCGCCTTCTGAACTCAGGGTCACTACTTGTAGATTCAGCTCAAGAAGGGATATATCATGTCATAAGAGGACCAGGGTGAGTTTGTTAATTTCAAATATTAGACCGCCCAACTACCTTTGCGTTCACAAACGCCCCATGCCCCATGATCTCCATCCAATTCGGCAAATCCAGACCTTTCCCGTTGATTTGCCCAATCTAGTATATACAATTGTAAGGCCCTCCAGCGCATACAACCACCTTCTGATAGATCTTTGTCGATGAGGGTAGTATCAGAAACGCCGACGTGACCCTTCGCATCTGTTTTCAAATCATCCTGTCTTAGATCTGCCACTGATATACCAGAGACTCTGCTGAGTTCATGATCAAAATATCGGGCAACGCAGGGATACCCCAGAGATAGGTAATTATATATCTGAGTAACAAGACCATCATGCAGTTCCATTTCAAGAGACTCTCGGCTAGAGATTTGCTGTGAAAAGTGACTCGTGGTAGGACTCCATGAGCTGCGTTGGAGTGACTGATTCTTGATCCTTAGCCAGTCCGTATCAGCTGACTGTAGGGTGGGACCCGCGTATACCTTCGAATCGGGCGATGCGATTGAAGTCTGCCGTGATTGGATCTCTTGCATATTTCCGGGTTTGCAGGTACCTTTCCAGAGACCCCCGTCGTTGGATCTATCATCAACGCGAGGAGTACCATACCAAAGTCCAGAGCATCCACACAGTCGTTTGCGAGTCACATCATGTTGAATATTGCTGCCTTCACATACTGTTGACTCGGGGGATAGGCTCTGGGGGAAGATAAGATCCTCTCCGAGCATTGGCGGGGTAGCATTGCTTTCGGGTGGTGCCAGATCGCGAGCCTTGGCTCGATAGTCAAGGTGCCTTGCGAGCTTCCTAGCCCCAAACAGGGTATCGCTTCTTAGTGAGAAGGGTGAGCCTCTTGTTCTAGCCATTGCGCGATCACTCATCTCGGCTTCTTCTTTGTGCCTGCGCATATACTCAAGCTCCCACGTGAGATCTGCGGACGATGTTCGCCGATGAATATATGGAGAGGAAATGTCGTCTGGAGAGCTTGACTGCTCATGGTTGAAGGTACCTTCTTCTTCTTCTTCTTCTTCTTCTTCTTCTTCTTCTTCTTCTTCTTCTTCTTCTTCTTCTTCTTCTTCTTCTCTGTCAATAGCGAAATGATCGACGGGTTGGTGATCTTGTTCGTTTGGAAAGGCTGCCAGCGCTTGTTCCTTCAACTGTTTCTCTACTGTAATGACTGCGATGGCCGAGAGGTAATCGGAACAATCATCCTGAGAGCCAATTCGTGCCGTAACATTGGCACTGTTTTTTTGCTCTAGCCTGTGAGGTGATACAAATGATGATGCAGGTGCTGACGGGGTATCAGATGTCTCGGATGTCTCGCTACAGCTA